ATCGTAATTAACCCATAAATCTAGTGGCTAAAATGAATGTTAATAAAAATTGATAACCAAATCAAAAATTGACAAAGATACATCAATAACCAAATAAGGACAACAATGAACTAAAATGATATTAAGTAGTTCGAAATAAAATTAATTAATTTATCATTCGTGATTAAAATATAAGGCTTACAAAGCAATGGGATTAAGCACACAATTATCCCAAAAAAGCAAAACACGCTGGCTAAGAGAGATGAAACGGTGTCGTTTTGCATGTTCCATATAAGCCTAAAATCAGGCCAAAAATAACATTCAGCCTTCACACCTTCATTTGAGAGAGAGAGAGAGCCCGAGAGAGAGTTATGGAGTTCCCAGAAACCGGTGGACAACCACCGTGTCGTCCGTCGCGGACACAGCAGCCGCCGTTTGCCGGCGTCGGAGAAAAAAGAAAAAGGCATGATTCAAAGCGTCTTTTCATCCCGACGATGGATCCATGCTTCATTTGGCCTGAAAATGACCCCATCTCCGTAGATCTACAAAGAAACCTCTCGATTTCTTTGGCTCCGGTAACTCTTGGACTTCTCGGTGGTCCAACTATGAGGTAAGTCTCCTTCTCTATTTATTTTATTAGTTCTGTTGTGGTTTTCTTTTCTAGTTCTCTATTTTTTCTTTTGATTTCTCCGAATCCCCACTCGTTTTTCCTCTCGATTTTCCTCTCTTTTCTTCCTTCGAAACTTCCCCCGTTCCCCTCTTGATTTATCATTGAACCCTTCCATTTAGTCATGGATTAGGTAGATTTAATCACGAATTTTTCAGATTTAGGTAAGATATTGGTGGGATTTGGTATAATTTTTGTTTTGACTTTGGCCAATTTTTCCTCTGATTTGGTTTATGTTTGTCTCCCTGTCACTGTTGATGGATGGGCTCTCATCGGCTCCTATGGCGGTGGCTCGGGATATCAACGTTGATGGATAATGCGGCTCGGTGACTGGAGTGATGATAGCGTACGGCGATGACTGTTGGTGAAGAAACCCTAATATTTAGGGTTCTGATATCATTGGGTCGGGTCGGATCTTGCAGCTGGGTTGGTTCGGATCAGGCATGGGGCTCTAATCAGGTTGAGTGCTTTGGGCTTGTAATTGGGCTCCAGGTTGAGTGTTGTAATTGGGTCTTGGGGAACTGGGCCTGCATAATATGTAATAATATTAATAATAAAAATAATAATAGTAATAATAATAAATAATGATAATAATATTTTATTGTCTCGGATAAAAATGGGTTTCTAAGTTTTTCTGTGAAGCGTGGATTGACTGAAGATGTTTTTGTAAGTAATGCTTTGATTCAAATGTGTAGTGAATGTGACAGTGTGGTCTCTGTCAGGTTGTTGTTAGATGACATGCGTGAAAGAGATTATGTTTCTTGGAGTACAATGATTAGGTGCTATGTTAGAAGCAAAATGCACAGTGAAGCATCGGAGACTGTAAGAAAGAGCGAAATTTACAAATAAGACCTAGTGAAGTTGCCATGATTAGCATGGTAACTTTATTTGCAGACCTCGTGGATAATGAAATGGGAAAAGTGATGCATGCTTATGCTACAAGGAATCTTGAGAAAATGGGTGTTCGTTTAGCTACTACTTTCATTCATATGTATATGAATCCTGCATAATCAAGTACAAACACACAGAAACATACATGTTATATTGTTTTCCCATGGAAGTACATACACTTAGTAGCCCAAAACACATACAACTTGTTACCAATATGCTCCAGCTTTCCATAATATGCATGCCTCCAAGTCCTTATGAAAAATAGGGGAGCCATCACTCCCTAAAACCCCACTACAAACCCAACAACCATACTCACATAATTGTTGGGAAATAACCGAAAATTTTCCCTATAACCAGATTAGTGAGAATGCGAAATAAAAGCAGAAAAATAATACCCGAAATTGATAACGGAGTTCAGCCAATTTTGTTTACGTCTCCGGACTGCTACAGATCTTTTACTAAAGAGAGAAAAATTACAGGTGTTTACAAAACACTCACAACTCACAAGAAAGCTCTGTAGTATTGGGAGAAAGAAATGATTTGGGATGATTTTGAAGCTAAATGGGATAGGGTATTTATAGTTGAAGCTTAACGACTAATCTTGTAAATACCCTAAAGTATAGGGACTAAATTTGGTAATTATCCCTTACCAAATTCAACCAAAGTGTGCTGCCAATTTGGAAAAATTAGCAGCCCCATCCTCCCATTAATGGTGCCAAAATTGAATTCATCAATTTGACTTTTCAACAATCTCCCACTTGAAGACTGATTTTAATCTGTCTTCACACCTTGATCAATGCAACAGCATTTCTGGTCTTGTTACTCTAGCATGCCAACTGAAGCTGAACACAACTTCAGTTTGTCCGTAGTCATCGTCTTTGTCAACATGTCTGTTGGATTATTCATGTACCTGCTAACAGTTCCCACTGTTTGAGCAATGTCTGGTCTAGTACAAACCATTGCATACTCAAAATTGCGTCAGCCCTTCTTATTACATGAAGTCTGACACTCCTCGCAATGAACCCTTATCATTGGAGTTCTTTGCGCCACCATGCATCGGTACTTTCTAACGGCAAAGTCTGATGCTCCTTCTTGCCTCCTTCCTTCTAACACGAAGGTTGGAGCTCACTTCCCATCTTGCAAATGGGTAGTTTCTCCATGGTTGCCTTGTCCCTTAATATATTGGCTCCCTTCGACTCTAGTCTACTAGTCTTTGAAGGATTGTTCCTCACTTGAACATCCTCAGCAAGCCCTTGCTTCGACCTTTCTCCTATGATGGTCTCTGAAGCCATGTTCTCTACACGAACATGCTCGGCAAACTCCTTGGACATGGCTAACTCCTCCTGCACTTGGCTTCTACTTGCCTTGGTAGAAATGAACCGTATTGAGCCAACTCTCAACACCCCCTCGATCCTGGGTTCATCCTCTTCTCTGAACAACTCGATTCTGAGCTCATCCATCACATTGGATAACTCGGCTCCCCTCGGTAGTCTCGAAACACTTCTGGCATCTTAAGTTTGCGCCCCCTCGTTTGCTCGACTCTTACCCTCGGCTTAGCATCTTTGACACTTGAACTTGTGTCAAGACTGCACACCTCTTCTCCAGACTCACCATCTGGTTCATCATTGAGTGGACTTTCTCTGCCACTCGAGGAACAACATTCCTCATCCTCTGACTTGCCTTCATCACGGAATCTCTTGTTGCTACTCTCAGCTTTCGGCTTTGCTTTGGAAGTCTTGTTTTTCTTGACTCCAAATTTTTTGATGGACTCTACGGTTGTCAAGGCTTTAGACAGCTCATTGACTTCCCTTCGCTCCAACACTTTCTTCGCCCATGGCTTCAATCCGAACATGAAGGTGAAGAACCCATCTTCTTCTGTCAAACTTGAGACTTTGAGCATGAGTCTTCTGAATCGGCTCACATACTACTTAAGTGTCCCTTTATGCCTGAGACACCTCAACTTGGACCATGCCTCTATCCTGGCATATTGTGAACGAACTTGTTCACTTTGCACCCTCGGCTTAACGGCTTTATCTCTTGCTATCGCACTGGGTCCCTTATTGTGCTCGACTGCTTTGACACCCGCAGTCTCATCACACCTCGATCCTGGATTGACTACTTGAGAACTTGTAGTTGCACCATGCTTGCCCCTTGATTTGGCTACTTTGGAACATATAGCCTCATTAAGTCTTGCCCCTGTCTTGATTGCTTGGATACTCGCAATCAAATCGGGCTTTCTTCTAGGTTCGGCTGCCTCAACATCAATAGTCTTGCCTCGTCTTGTTCCTTGCTTGGTCGCATTGATCCCCTCAATCGGACCAAGTCTTTTCTCCGACTTGGCAGTTTTAACACTTGCAACCGTGCCAATTCCCGCTACTTCTCCTTCTTCCATCCTCTTCATGATGGTTGTAAGGTGACGCTTCTCGGGACATCCTCTAATCAAATGAGGACCATCACAGAAGTAGCACTTTAACTTTTCTTTGCTCATCTTCTTCTTCGCACCGGACTTAGCCTTGTCATTCTTTCCCGATGGCTTTCTTTCGCTACGAACAGTCGATGGCTCACATTGGCTATTCGAAGAGCTTTCTCTACCATCTCCCCGCTGCACCTTTTCTCGGTCTCCCCCATTATTGTCACTATCTCTAGGCATGGGCCTGGACGACACATCGCTACTTGGCTTGACACCTGCAAGCTCAGTCATCTTTTTGGCTACAGCTATGGCCTCCGAAAGTCTCTGGGCATCACCTTGCTTTCCCCCGAGCATTGCCTCTGGTCTAAGTCCTTCCAAGAAGGTCTTGAGCGCACCATCCAACTTCTCAATTTTCACCTTCCCTTTGTCTGCAGCCATCGCTCCCACTCGAATCTGGCTTCTTTTGGATCGTTTCTGACAATTCTTGCGAACCACCGTGTATTAGAACACCTCCGTCGACAAACTCGCATCACCAACCAAATTTCACTATTCACGAAATTCACTATTCATGTAAATAGTAACCGCGCAGAAAAATTGACAAAATTCACAACCAAAAGCTCTGATACCAGTTGTTGGGAAATAACCGAAAAATTTCCCTATAACCATATTAGTGAGAATGCGAAATAAAAGTGGAAAAATAATACCCGAAATTGATAACGGAGTTCAGCCAATTTTGCTTACGTCTCCAGACTGCTGCAGATCTTTTACTAAAGAGAGAAAATTTACAGGTGTTTACAAAACACTCACAACTCACAAGAAAGCTCTCTAGTATTGGGAGAAAGAATTGATTTGGGATGATTTTGAAGCTAAATGGGATAGGGTATTTATAGTTGAAGCTTAAGGACTAATCTTGTAAATACCCTAAAGTATATGAACTAAATTTGGTAATTATCCCTTACCAAATTCAACCAAAGTGTGCTGCCAATTTGGAAAAAATTAGCAGCCCCAGTCGCCCATTAATAGTGCCAAAATTGAATTCATCAATTTGACTTTTCAACAATAATATCCATTCACTTTACTTCTTCCACTGCTACTTCCATTCTTCGTAACATCAGTCGGAACACCTTTAGCACTGCAACTTTTACTGAGAGGAGGCCCGCATAGATAATTGGCCATGTAAGAAGAGTTATCAAACCTTTGAAGTTGAGTGCCTGTTGGGATTTGTCCTGTCAAGTTGTTGTAGGATACGTTGAAGTGATTCAAGAAGTTCAAATTGGACAAACTTGAAGGGATTTCACCATGCAACTGATTCATTGACAAATCAAGAGATTCCATCAACTTCAAGTTGCCAATGTTGTCTGGTATATTTCCTGTTAAGAGATTCCTTGAAAGATTTAATGACAATAGCCCAATGAGAGTTCCAAATTCTTTTGGGATCTCTCCTGTAAAACTATTAGCCGAAAGGTCTATGCTGGTAACAAGTCCCAGTGTGGTACTATACAAGTCCTCTCGTCCTTTCAGCACCAATGACGCACCTATTAAAGAAATGCTCGTTTCTACATTAGCATCATTGTACAACCACTCAGAATAGTAGATATGTTGTTTTTCTTCGATGGCCATTGCACTTAAATGTCTAAAACATTTTGGAATAGCTCCTGAAATATTGTTGTGTCCAAGGTCCAAGTTCTGAAGAGATTGAAGAGTGCAAATTGTATGAGGAATATGACCATCAAAGTTATTTGACCGGAGGCTTAGTACCACAAGCTTAGAGAGCTTGTCACCAATCCATGCTGGTATTCTTCCACTGAAATGATTTTTACTGAGATCAAGAACAACCAAATTAGTACAATTTTGTAATGTGGAGGGTAATTCTCCAAGCATGCTATTGTTCCGAAGGTTTAGCATTTCAAGACTTTTATCTCCCAAAGAAGATGGGATTTTTCCTGTCAAATTGTTGTTTCCCAAATTTAAGAACTTCAATTCCTGCCCGAGGTTCCAACAATCTGGAATTCCTCCAGAGAGAAAATTTGTATCAATGAGAAGAACTTTCATTGATGTCATTGATGAATTGCAAACAAATTCATAAAGAGATCCTGAAAATAAACTCCTTGACAAACTTAAATATTCTAATGGACCAGAGAATCTGTTTGACAACAGTCTTGGCAGTGGACCAAAGAATCGATTTGAGCATAGGTCGACAATGTTTCCTACATTCAAATATGTAATCCTTCCAGTTAGTTGATTAGAAGAAAGATTCACGTTTTCAAATTGAGTGGAAAGGTTCAAAAACCAAGTGGGTACGACATCTGAAATTCCTGCATGCGAGATGTCTAAAGCATACAACTTATTTTGGAACTTCAACCATTGGGGAAACTTCGAGCCAAGATGCCATTGACTCAATTCGATAATTCCACATTGAAACGGAGGAATCCAACTTGAGTTTGGTTCAAATCTTATCATGTTTTCGGATGCCACCAAAGTCTTCAACCTCGTGAGATTAGAAAAGTGAGTTTCTGATACAACTCCTTCCAATTGATTTTTCCCAATATATAGAGCTTTTAATTTTTTTCAATTGCCCAAAGTTTGGAGGAAAAGTACCATTTAATTGATTTTCTGAAACATCAAAGGCCTTCAAAAACGATAACTCCCCTATCGACCATGGAATGAGACCAGAAATGTTGTTTCGAGCAAGGTCCATATAAGCTAAATTTTTAAATTGCCCAAGTTGATCTGTTAAATGGCCAGAAAGTTGGTTATATGACATCCTCAATGACTCTAAGCTATCCAAACAACATGTAGACAAAATCAGTAGGATTTGTGATATGTCTTGATCAATTCCATTAGATGACAAATCCATCTCCTTCAATTTGCAAAGATCTCCCAGAGAGTCTGGTACTTTCCCTTGTAGCTCATTAAATGAAAGATCAAGGTGAATGAGAGAGCTCAAGTTTCCAATGGCACTCGAAATTTCACCTTGTAAATCGTTAAAAGAAAGAGTAAGGGATTGAAGATGGTTTAAACTATACAAGGAGTTGGGTATGGATGAATTGAGTGAGTTGAAACTAGAATCAACAACTTCAAGAAATGACATGTTCCCAAAGTAATCTGGAATTGGGCCTTCCAAAGAATTGTAGCTGAGATCAATGGACACGAGACCATGAAGACCAAATATCGACATAAGAACTGAAGATAATTCATTCCAAGAAAGATCAAGAACGGCTAGTGAATTTGTAGAATTAACAGTGCTGATCGGAGATGTATCATCTTGTAACATGCAGTCAGACAAGTGCAACTCTAACAAAGAAGGAAGATTGGATAATGTTACCTGTAGCCAATCAGTTGCTTTACGAAGATGCACACCACTCAAATCAAGGTACTGCTAAGAAGAAAGTCCAGAAATCCATTGAAGACTTTTCACTTTAGAGAAATAGTTACGTCCGAGGTCAAGATACTGCAACTCTGAGAAATTCCCAAGGTTACGAGGAATTGCACCCTGGAATCGTGTTTGAGAGAGATTAAGATATGTTAAGCTCCCCAACAAACCCAAAAACTTTGGGATTTGTATGGTGCTAAAATTGTTATTGCTCAAGTCCAGCCAATTGAGATGCTGCAACTCTAGCAGAGAAGGATTTATTTTGCCTCCTAGGGCTGAACGACCGTAACCTTGCCGTCCATCAGGAGGAGCTAAAAGCAGTTGGGTGACGTGGGCTGTTGAGTTATGGCAAACAACACCATTCCAATCACAGCAATCCCCACCTTCAACCCAGGAAGACAGGCTGTTTGAGGGATCGATCAGATCGTTCTTGAACTTCAAAAGAGCATCTCTCTCACTTTCAATGCAAAGCACATTGGAATCGCCATTGCAGAAGCAAAGACAGATGGATGCAATGAGAAGAAGAAATGAGAATAAGGAAATTGTAAGAATTGTCATTGTTGCAATTGCATTGTAGTAACCTTTGCTAGCAACTCTGAATACATATAGAGACTGAAGCTAAATATATATATATATATATGTCATAACCATTTTTCGGTAAAACAATTAAAATATTATTTTAAAAAACGATTATGACTTTAATTTGGGAAAAATTAGGGTGATTTGGAATTAATTTGGAATAAATTGAATAGAGTCGCCATCGACCTTTGGGTTAGGTAGGTCGAATACCTAAAAACATCTTTTAAAAATAATTTAAAGAAAAAAACATTTTTTAAGACAAAATTTGGTCTGCGTTTACCAAAGATTCGTTTAAAACGGGTTCGGAAGTCGGTTACGCGTGGGGAAGGATTAGCACCCCACAGCGCCCAAAACTGGTACTGTGTCACTTACATATCGTCGTGATGGTGGAAAGTATGAATCGAATATAAAATTAAATTATGATCCATTTATTGAATATTAATTTGCTTCAAATAATTATTAGGGAAACTTCTTTAACTTGAAAAGAAATCTCGATATTAGCAATCCTCCATCGGGAAAACTAACTCGAATATTTCTTATCAATTAAAGAATATTCCCTCCTCATTTATATTAAAAACGCAAATCGAATATAAATGAAAAACGACATTTACATAAATTGATTAACTAAAAATGAATCGAATATAAATTAACAAAATTGAAATTTACATTAACATAAATAAAGTAAATTGTCACTTAAAATAACACGCATTGCATCATTTGAACAAATTAATTAGTAAAATATACTCGACTTATTTCAAGTTCTTATATCGTTAAAATGTCGTACCGGATCGCACCACTTCGTCCAAGTGGTACTTTCCACGCTCATTCTATGCATACGTGTTCTTGAAAATAAAATCAAATATTTCGTACATACATAAGAATATAATGAAAATAAATGTAATTGGAAATACAAATATTTACATAAGTGGGATTAAACACATTATTTACATAATACAAATAACCATGTAATATGTAAAATACATTCATACATAAATAAAAATAAATAAACATTACAAACCCAAAATAAAATACCAAAAATAAGCAATTAAGGGACTAAAACATGATTAACAGAAATTTAAAGGAATGAATAATAAATACAAAAAGTTACAGGACCAAAATAAAAACAAAAACTTAAAGAACAAAAAAAAACTAAAACAGAAAGTTAAAGGACTAAAAAGTAATTGCAAATAAAACAAAGTCCAGATTACAAATATTAAATAATACAAGCATTAAAAATAAAAATAGCCCAACAATAACAGTAAGGACTAAAATGAAATAAATAGAAACATACAAGAGCCTAACAGTAATTAAACCAAATGTAAACAAGTGACTAAAATGTAACATTTACAAATATCATAGCCAAATTGGAATATTAACAAAAATACCCAACAACCTGGAATTAGTGGCTAAAATAAAATATTTACAAATATGGTCGCCAAATTCGAATAACAACAAAGAATACACAACATACTAACTTAGTGACCAAAATTAAATAATAACAAATATTGCTACCAAAGTCAAATAAATAATCAGAATAGCATAACAAGTAATAACCAGACTAAAACATAAGTAATGAAATTTAAAGGCTCGAAATCAAATAATATAAAACTTCATATATGACTGAAATATGTGATTACAAAGTAAAGGGGACCTAACATGTAGTTAGACCCTTTTTACACAACACGCAGCCTCTTACCCCTTTAAACGGCGTCGTTTAGGGCGAACTATATAAGCCCAAAATGGGCTTTGTTTAGCCTTCTCCCCTCATTTGCTTCTTTGTTTAAACGAGAGAATAGAGAGAGAGAGAGTTCAGAACTCTCTCAACTCTCTCCACTGAAGAGAGAAAGGCCACGGTGGCCGGAGGCTCCCACGGCGGGGCCAACGGCGGCGCACGGCGGCGCTCGGTCACCGGAGAAGTGAAACCGACCCCAAAAGAAACCTCAAAACCCCCTAAACTCCGATCTATAAACCCCTTTTCCAAAAACCACACAGAAAATCCTAGATCTAGGATGATAACTTTCGAAGAATCGAGGAAACAACGACCCTTTGGCTTCCCTCTGATGAGCGTGGTATTCGGTAAGCTCTTTCCCTCACTCTCTGTATTTTCTTCTATATTTTTCTCTCTCTGAAACTGTCACTGCCCCGAAAATGTTTCCTTTTTCTCTGTTCTTTTCGTTTTTATCTTGATGCATGTCTGTTGGATGGTGTTTCCGAGGAGATAGGATATCATTCCTATCTCCACTTGACTGACCAAATATCATCTGTCTTTGGATTTCTTTATTGGGGTTTTTGGATTTTCTTTTGATTTGTTTTTCATTGTTTAATGGCTTATTGATAGACTGCTTTGACTTTCGGTCACTGTAGATGATAGCGGCGACGTCAGAGGCGGTCGGAGCTGGCAGCAACAAAGAACGGCGGCGGGTGGCAGAAGCTATCGGGAGTGAAGCTCGGCTGGGAAGCTGAAGAGTTGGCGGCGGCTGAGATTGATATTTTAGGGTTTAAGGGTTAAAACCCTAATCTACTTAGGGTTTAGTTGGGTTGCTGGATCAGTTGTTGGGCTCCGGGATTGGGCTTTATTTGGGTCTCGATTGGGCTTGTGGGTGCTGTTGATGTACTGGGCCTCAAGAATTGGCCTGCAAAAATTGTATTAATATATAAGTAATAATAATAATAATAAATATAAATAATAAAAAAACGATAATAATAATAATGAATTAAAATAGAAAAAATCCAGACAAAAACGGGTGTCTACAGCTGCCCCTCTTTGCACATTCTTGTGTTAACAAGAATAGGGCAAAGACGACAAGACAACACGTTTTTGTCTGGTTCTCTCCCTTAGAAATTGGATAATGTTGGTTGCTGGGGACGACACTGCTTATACGTGATGAAGAGTTCGGGTCGTCTAAGGGTGACTCGGTTCCTACGTGATAAGGAGATTTGGTCGGGGATGACACGACTCATACGTGATGAAGAGTTCTTGGCCATCTTTAGGAAGGTGATAACATGGCTCCTTCGTGATGAGGACGGCTGGTTATCTATTGTTGACGCGCCTCCTACGCGATAAGAAGATCAGGTCAGTTGATGACACGGTTCCTACGCGATGAAGAATTTTGGCCATCTAAGGGTGATAACATGGTTCCTATGTGATGAGGACGGCTGGTTATCTATGGTTGACACGGCTCCTACGTGATGAGGAGATCAGGTCGGTGATGACACGGCTCATACGTGATGAAGAGTTCTGGTCATCTAAAGGTGATAACATGGTTCCTACGTGATGAGGACGGCTGGTTATCTATGGTTGACACGGCTCCTACGTGATGAAGAGTTCTGGTCAGGTGATGACACGGTTCCTACGTGATGAGGACGACAGGTCATCTATAGGTAATAACACGGTTCCTACGTGATGAGGAAATCAGGTCAAGGGATGACACAGCTCATACGTGATGAGGACGTCTGGCCATCTTTAGGGATAATGGTTTAAAGGGAAACCGACTCAAAGATTTGTTTCAAAAGAAACAAACCCAAATATTTGTTTCAAGAAGAACAAACTCAAAGATGATGTATTTCAAAAGCAACTGTCTCGAAAGAGACAAAATTCATTTCATGGGAAACGACTCAAAGATGACGTTTAAAGGAAACTGTCTCAAGCGAGACAAATTTTTTTAAGGGAAATGTTCTCAAAGATCGGTGTTTCATGGGAAACTGTCTCAATTGAGACAAAATTCGTTTCAAGGGAAACAATCTCAAAGATGTTTGTTTTGTTTAAAGGGAAACATACTCAAAGATGGTAAATTTTTTCCCAAAGAAACAGACTCAAAGATTTTTCTCAAAAGAAACTGTCTCAAGAGAGACAAAATTTTTTTTCCACAGAAACGGACTCAAAGATGGGTTACGTCTTAAGTGAGACGAAATTTGTTTCAAAGGAAACAATCTCAAAGGTTGGTTTTTTTTTATTAGAAAATGTCTCAAAATAGACAAAATTTGTTTTTAAAGAAATAGACACAAAGATGATTTTGTTAGTAGAAACAAACTCAAAGATTTTTTTCAAAATGAACAGACTCAAAGATTTGTTTCAAGAGAAACTGTCTCAAGATAGACAAAATATGTTTTAAGAGAAACAAACTCAAAGATTTTTTTCAAAAGAAATTGTATCAAGAGAGACAAAATTTTGTTTCCAAAGAAACAGACTCAAAGGTTTTTGTTTCAAAAGAAACAACTCAAGGATTTTTTTCACGAAATTGTCTCAAGAGAGACAAAACTTTGTTTCAAAAGAAACAGACTTAAAGATTTTTTTCTCAAAATAAATAACTCAAAGATTTTTATTCAAAAGGAACAGATTCAAAGATTTGTTTCAAGAGAAATTGTCTCAAGAGAGACAAAAATCGTTTTAAGAGAAAAAGATTCAAAGATTGTCGATTTTGTTTATATGTAAATAATCTCAAAGGTGTTTGTTTTGTTTCAAATGAAACAATTTCAGGATTTGTGTTTAAAGGGGAAACTGTCTCACGTGAGACGAATCATCTTTGAAAATCTCAAGTGATATTAATTTTGTTTCAAGTACAACAACTTTGAAATTTGTATTCTGAGGGAAAATGTCTCAAGTGAGACGAAATTTGTTTTGAAATAAACAACAATCTCAAGTTAGATTAATTTTGTTTCATGTGAAGCAAATTCAAAATTGGTATCTCAAAGGAAAAATGTCTCAAGCGAGATGAAATTTGTTTTAAGAGAAATTGTCTTAAGTGAGACAAAATTTGTTTTTATAAAACTGTCTCAAGCGAGACAAAATTTTGTTTCAAGAAAAACACTCTCAAAGGCGATAGAAAGTCCGCTTGTTCCTGCATGTTGATGAAATGTCTTGATTGTTGACTTCAGGAAGTCAAATCATTGTTCCTTCAAGTTAGAGACATCTGGTCATTTCCGAGCTTTGATTTCCTGGGAGATGAAATTTTGACTGACTATATTGGATGTTATGATGA